TGTGTGACGGGAATGTGGGGAGGTCTTTCTCCTCCTCAGTCAGGGGCTTCTCACTTGTGTGCAGCCCCTGGATGATTTTTCTGTGGGTCCGCACCCCTGCTGTAAGATGCAGAAGAAATGGAGGTGGCTGTCTAGAAAGAACCAGGAAAGATCCAGGCCGTCAGCCGAACAATCCTGGTGCAGAAGCCCAGGGAAAAGGTCTGAGATGAGCCTCACGCTTCATCCTCATTCATTGCCCATTAAAGCGGGACGGGGTGAGTTGGGAGTTGATTAGTGTGTGGACTGTGGCCAAGCACGTTGGGGGAGGGACCAGCCCAGTGCAGAGAGCTGGCTGGCTCCTGCTTGTACCACTTTCAGGACTCCGCTCGTCACGTTTCTGTCTGGTGGGCAGAGCGGTCCTTTCAGGGAGGAGGCAAAGCAAGGCGAGCTAACCTGCTCTCCGTCTGTGGGTGCAAACCAGGAGCGCCTGTGTCTGGATCTCCACGCCAGGCCCTGGGGTCTGTGTGGGTCATCCCAGTGCCTGGAGCCTTCAGACACCCGCAGAGAATCTCTTCCGGTGCCCGCTGGCCAACAGCAGACATCCAGCCAGCGGATCTCTTCCCAGAGAGGCGTTTTCACTCGGGCTTTGAATGTGGCTGTACGGACGAGCCCCGGAAACGGCTGCTAAGCAGCAACGTTCCCTCTCATTTTTTCCATCGGTGTGTGGAATAAAGTTTGTGCTGTGCACCAAGCCATGTGCAGATGTGCACCACCCATAGAAACACTGGCTGCCGGCTATGGGCGCTCTGCTGATGTGCTGGGCGGCCGCCCAGGCGCTCAGCTGGCAGGCACGGCGGCTAAGCAGCGTTTGCTCTGTCTGCAGGAGACACGGCCGTATATAAAGGGGGCACGTACTGGATCAAGGGCCGCACCTCTGTGGACATCATCAAGAGCGGAGGCTATAAAATTAGCGCCCTCGAAGTGGAGCGCCATCTGCTGGCTCACCCCAGTATTGCAGGTAAGGCGCCGCCCCTTGGGATCTGTGCTCTCGGTTTGTGGGGGGCTTTGGAGGCGAATTACAGTGTTACCGCCCCAGTGAAGAGCTGTAGTTGGAGACGGTCCCCCAGCAGGGAGGCACTGGGCCTGCTGTCCCCTGGCATCTCTGTCCCAGATGGCAGTGCCCTCCAGCGGATAGGAGCCTAGCGAGGGTGCTGAATCGGGGCAGAATTCTATTGATCTCAGGAGTATGGGGGGGATTTGGAACCCCAGCTGCCCTGGGAGCTCCCTGCATGTTAGGTGCAGCGCTCCACCCTGGCCAGGGGCTAGCTGCCCCCTCGCTTTGGGTTTGCCACCGCGCTGCACGGTGACGAGGAGAGAAGGCACAGAAGGCGGTGGCTTTTGGGGGCCTTGTTGGGTGACGGCTGTAGCCCAGAGGACACTGAGGAGTTGCTGGGGGGGGTGTGCGGGC